CATATTTTAGCGTTTTTATTTTACTTGAAGCTTTTTAACTAATGTTAAGCCTTAGCCTACCTACAATTGTTTAACTCATCTCAGTCCCTAACTTACCTATGAATTAAATTAAAGTCCGGTTCACGGTAAAGAAAATAGAAAGTTGAAGAGAAACACAACAACAACGACACCGAATGAATGGATGTTGTGTATGTATGTGTTGTATTGATGTGTGTGTGTGTATGTAAATGTGCGGGCGCGCACTCTCCAGAAACTTCACTCACTACCAACGAACCTCCATTGCACCGACCATCATCTGACACGCATCGATGGAATGAATTTGACCAAATACTGAAAAATAAATTGAAAAGAAAATTAATTCCTTAAAATAAAAAACAAGCAATTGGAAAAAATAGGCAACTTATCTTTTTGAGATAACACTCAATCTTTGTTCAAATTCGAGTACTTTCAAAGGTGCAATGAGACAAAAACAAATTTACCTTTAACATTATCTTCCATTTGTCATCGGAACGATCATCATGGACCACCATCTGAAACGTGCTGACGCCCACCACAGCCCACCTCTCATCATTCTGTAGGCAAGTTTTTATTAATTAGCGAAGTAGTAAATCAAGAAACAAAGGAACAAACGAATAAATGATTAACTGAATGATTGAACGATTGGTTGAATGAATAAATTAACTAATTAATTAATCAACCAATGATTTAATGAATGAATAGAATGAATCAATGAATAAATTAATTGAGGAATAATTTGAAAGATAGTGATAAAATGAATGAATGAATGAGAAAAATAAAAAAAACAAACTAAATCATACTTCAAAAACCGTCGCGGTTGTTAGCTTCGAATTGTCATCGGAACGATCATCATGAGACCTCCATCTGAAACGTGCTGACGCCCACCACAGCCCATCTCTCATCATTCTGTAGACATTTTTTATTAGCGTATTAGTAAATCAAGAAACAAAGGAACGATTGAATAAATGATTAACTGAATGATTGAATAATTGGTTGAATGAATGAGTGAATGAATGAATGAATTAATAAATCAATGATTCAATTAATGAATAGAATGAATTAACAAATCAATTAATAAAAGAATAATTTAAAAGGTTGAGTGATAAAATGAACGATTGAGAAAAATAAAAAACGAAACTAAACCTTACTTCAAAAATCGTCGTTACTGTACTTTCCATTGCACCGACCACCACCATCTGGTCGGCACACAAAATGCCATCCGAATTTCAGAGTGTCTGTCGAACAGCCAACGAGCTGATTCTTCCTACACCACCATCATCATATGTAAATCATCATGAGACCACCATCTAAAACGTGCTGACTCCCACCACTGCCCACCTCTCATCATTCTGTAAACAAATTTTTTTTTTATTTGCGTAGTAGTAAATGAATGTTAGAATCTTAGAAGCAAAAAAATTTAAATTATAAAATGAAAATAATGTCAAATAAATAAAATTTTAAAATAATAAAGTAAAATGTAAAAAAAACTTACCGTCGTCCATTCGACAAAGGCAGAATGTTGAATGCGGTCCGGTTCCTACGTTGTCCTCCAAAACTGGTGCCAGTCCTCTTCGAGATTGTTGTTGAAACACAGCCCCGTGTCGATGGAGAAAGATAGAGAAAGAGTAGATTCTCATCAGAAAGCTTAGCGGTGCCTGCATCTCAAATTGCTTAATAAAAATAATCCTATCTACCTATTCAATTACCTTAGCTAATATATATTAAATTATTAATGGTACGATAGTCGAAAGTCCCCCTTCATTCTCCCTCCTTGCACAGAGGTTCACCGACAGCCAGGGCACCGGATAGTAAACCATTGCCGTGCGGGTAGTAGACTATTGCCGTGCGGATAGTAAACCATTTGCCGTCCGGAAGCCGTGCGGGTAGTAGACTATGGCCGTGCCGCATGATAAATCATTACCGTGCAGATAGTAAACCATTGCCGTCCGGATAGTAAACCATTGCCGGTTCACCACTGGCCACCAAGGCTTACCTCTGACAAGGGACTTCGAAATTCAGAGTCTATCGGCTATCGTACCCTCAATTTACCTATTCACTACAATTAAGCCCTAGCTTACCTAATTTTACAAAACTCAAGAGCCCAATTCATTGGCCTTTCGGCACCCACCCCACCACCTACGTAATGCCTTGGGCTCCAACTTAGTAATAATAATATAAAACATAAACCCTAAATCTATTAATGAGTATGTGTTACAACGTAGCCTTAACTTACCTATTCATTACATTATGGTCCTAGCTTACCTAAAATTACAAAACTCAAGAGCCCAATTCATTGGCCTTTCGGCACCCACCCCACCACCTACGTAATGCCTTGGGCTCCGACCTAATAATAATAATGCAAAAC